TTTGTCTTGCATTATGATTAATGAATGTGAACTGTTATTTCCATTTTTGGAAGTTATTGAAATTTTCATTGTCATCTGAAATATAGCAGATTTTCTAAGTGCTACATTGTTATTTGAAAGAAAAAAATGTTTTATACTCTGTAAATCATTGCCATCGAGTCGATTCCAACTGATAGCCACCCCATAGGACAGATAACTGCCCCTGTGGGTTTCCAAGACTGTAAATTGTTACTTGGGTAGAAAGCTTCATCTCTTTCCCTCAGAGTGGCTAGTGGTTTAGAACTGCTAACCTTGTAGTTAGCCTGTTAGTAGCCAACAAACACATAACCCTTTCTGCTCTCAGATTTACAGCCTTAGAAACCCAGAGGGGTAGTTCAGCTGTCTCCTTTCAATCATTATCAGTTGAAGTAGATGTGATGGCTGTGGGTGGGGGTCTCTATTGCTAGTGGGATTGCACAGTGTGCAGCTACCCCTGAAAATGTCGTGGTGGTTCCTCAGAAAGGTAAACATAGAACTGTCTTCTGGTCTGTTGCTGAGAAGTCTATTCCAATTCTGGATGACGCTGTGGGACATAGGAGGACTATAGTGTTCCAAGACTGTACCTTTTTACAGAAGTGGACTGCCACACCTTTCTCATGGGAAATAGCTGATAGGTCCAAACGGCCTTTGAGGGACCAGCTGAGCCCTTCCCCTCTGCACGACCAGGACTTATTCAGAACTACTGCTCTTAGATACCCACAGCCAGTGAGTCGATTCTAACTCAGTAGCTTTGAAGGACAGGGTAGAATTGATCCATAGAATTTCTAAGACTATAAGTCTTTACAGGAACACAGCCCCGTGACGTTCTCTATTGGAGCTGCTGGTTGCTTTGAATCTCCAACCTTGTGGTTAACAGCCCTGTGTTTAACCCACTGCACCACAAAAGTTCCATAGAACGACCCTATGGTCCAGAAATTCTACTCAGTGGTATTATCACAAGATTTAAAAACAGGAACACAAAGAGAGAGATCTGCACCAATGTTTATTGCAGCATAGTCACAGGAGTCAAAAGGTGGAGCAATAATTGTCCATGTACAGATAAATGGATGAAAATAATGTATCATATACTCATGCAATGGGCTATTGTTCAGCTATTAAGAGAAATGAAAGCAAAATTAATGAACCTTGAGAAATTTTCAAAAATTATTCACCTTATTGGGGGCTCTTACAGCTCTTATCACAATCCATACATCCATCCATTTTGTCAAGTACATTTGTACATATATTGCCATCATCGTTTTTAAAACATTTTCTTTCTACTTCAGCCCTTGGTATCACCTCATTTACCCCCTCCCTCCCCCACCTTCCCTTCCTCATGAACCCTTGATAATTTTTTTTTTCATGTCTTAAACCAACCGTTTGCCTTTTACCCATTATTTTGTTGTCCATCCCCGTGGGATGGGGTTGATATGATCATCCTGATCAGTTCTCCCTTTCTCCCCCCATGTTACCCTTACCTTTTGGTATTGCTACTCTCATTATTGGTCCTGAGGGGTTTAATTCTCCTGGATTCCCAGTGTTGGGAGCTCTTATCTGTAGCAGTGTACATGCTCTGGTCTAGCCATATTTGTAAACTAGAATTGGGTTCATAATAGTGGAAGTGGTGGGTGGGGAGAGCTTTAGAGAAGTCAAGGAAAGTTGTGTGTTTCATCAGTGCTATACTGCACCTTGACTGGCTCATCTCTTCCTTGTGACCCTTCTGTAAGGGGATGTCGAATTGTCTACAGATTCGCTTTGGGCCCCCGCTCCATGTTCCCCTTTGACCTTGATAAGATTTTTTTGTTCTGGATCTTTGATACCTTGTACCTGATCCCATCAACACCTCATGATCACACAGGTTGGTGTGCTTCTTCCCTGGGGCTTTGTTGCTTCTCAGCTAGATGGCCGCTTGTTTATCTTCAAGCCTTTAAGACCCCAGACGTCATATCTTTGATAGCTGGGCACCATCAGCTTTCTTCACCACATTTGCTTATGTATCCATTTTGTCTTCAGCGATCTTGCCCAGGAGGTGAGCATCATGAATGCCAGGTTATTAGAACAAAGTGTTCCTGCGTTGAAGGAGTACTTGAGTAGAGGCCTAATGTCTGTGTGCTACCTTAATACTTAACATATAAATGTATGTACATAGATCTATTTTCCTATCGTTATAAATAAATATATTTACATGTGTACATGCCTGTATTTAGACCTCTATAAATGTCTTTTGTCCCTTAGTTCTTTCCTCTATTTCCTTGTACTTTCCTCTTATTCCACTATCATGTTAGGCTTTCATTTAGGTTTCAGTATTTCCTCTCAGCTATGTTGCCCTTGATCAAACCCCAACAGGCATCCTATGTACTCCTTGCCATTGATTTTAGATCACTCGTTGTTCCCTTGTCCCTGGGTTTTTACTTGATAAAATAGGGACTTTAAAAAATATGAAATAATGAGAAAAGGGAGATTACAAGTGACTACTAGGGTAGGACAAAAAAATTAAGGGAAGCCATTGTTTAGGAAGCAGTGTTTATGTATGGTGTTAAGAAAGCTAGCATTGACTGTGGGTTGCAAAATACAATTATTGCAAATGTGGATGTTAGTTGCACAATACAGTGTAATTTATATCAATTGTACATCACTGAATTGGAAAATGTTATGATATAATTTTTATAATAATTTAAAAAATTATCTGTATCTTTTATGGACTTTGCAATCTACTGGAGGTTATAAACTAAGACAGAGAAAAGTAGGAGTATGTTATACCACATAAATGTAGATAAACTCACCCCCAGTATGCATCCAAGGGTGAAGGTGAGGAGCGGAGTTAGAGGTATTAGAGAAAAAAAGAATATGGATATTTTGCACTTTGGACAATTTACTTTGGCTTTAATGTGAAGAAGAAACAGGCAAGGTCAGCATTTATTAGCATGGAGTGGAAACTGATTTTATGATCACTACTTAAAACTTAACACTGATTTTATGATCACTACTTAAAACTTAAAACATACTTACATATTAATATTACAGAGTTTTCTAAAAGGAAGAGAAAAATAGGGATTAAATCCCAATATTGATTAAACCTGAAAAGTAAGTAATTATATCGCATTTAAGTTAAGAATAGCTAATGCAAAATGGTCAAATATTTTTCTTTATCAGTAATGGCTTTTTGCACTAACTGGAAATATATTGATCTTCAGACTATGACAAAAGAATGCCATTTATAAATTATATCTTTAAAAGCAAATTTCATTTGAAATCAGATATTGTCTTGAATATGATATCCTTTGTATATAAAAATGGAATCTGAGAAAATAGCAATGCTGCATCAGAGGGAGCACTAGCCCAAGCTAACATAAGAGGATGAAAATAGCTCTACCCTTGCCAATCGTTCTTTCACTGGAAATTAGAAAGGAAATATCAGAGCTGCCGAAAAAACAAGCCACATCGGCAATACTAACAATATACTGCAGAAATGAACTTGACTTCCTTTGTTACTGACAAAAACGTCTCCATAATCTCACTTTACTGTAAGTAGAAAATGATATTTTTCACTAAATGCTTTCTTACTTTTGAGCTGATTCTGTGAAAACTAGGAGAACTGACCCATGTAAAATGCCTTTCACTTTCATTGGGCCATTGAAAGCAATGGTTTCATATTGCAAGGCCAGAACAGCCTCAGTCCCCGAAGTATTTCCTAGAGCCTGGAGCCTAACCTGGAAACGGGATGAATAAGTTATTAGATTGTCACTAACACTTCGGTGGCTGTTCAGTTAGTAAACATATAAATAAAGTGAAGATACGTGTAGTCTTACAAATATTAAGGATACTAGAAGTGGCATGCAAAATGATTTTACCAACCATAAATCATTTTATCTGGTGTAATTAACCTGCTCATAGTTTTAAAAAAATTAGATCTGTACTTAATATATTTAAATATTTTATTCTAATTTCTACTATAGTATAACCATTATATCAATAACTCCAGTTTTAAAATGATGTATTGTCCATTTTAATACTAATATGTATTATTTTTTCTGTATATTGATTCTGAGTTCTTTTGCATATTCAGGCAATTTTGGGAGCTAGCACTGGATTAGGCTGTTTTACAGCTCTCCTAAGTGTTCTGCCGTGGACGGGATGCAAACTTAACTACTTTCTGATACTCTTTATTTGTGAAATATATTTGAAATTTCCTGCTCTGACAAGTATCCCCTTTATACAAATTACAGCTTTAACAATTGTTGTATGAAAATACACAGTATTTTTAATCGTTGTTTTAATGATATAGAAGGATTTGCCCTTTAAATAAATTTGTTCTTGACTCTATTTAAATGTAAACTTACTGGGGGCAAAAAAAAAAAAATCCCTTCCAGATTTCACACTGTTTGGCTTTATATCTTTCTTTTTAAGAAAAATAAGTGTGTAAGATGAAGAATGCCCAGTATGAGAATGTCAGTTCTCAATTCAGATGACTTCTCCACAGCTTTATGACCTTGAGCAAATTACTGAGGTGAATTAAGTATTGGGCTGCTAAGTGCAAGGTCAGCGTATCAAACCCTTCATCCACACTGCAAGGAGTAAGTTAAGTCTGTCTGCTCTCAAAAAAGGATTTATGCTTCAGGAAACCCTAAGGAATAGATCAACTGTGTTGGAATCAACCAGATGGCATTAGATTTGGGGTGGGTTGGTATTTAGCTATAATTGCCTCATTTAGAAAATGGCAGTAGTAATAGTAACTACCTTCTTCAGTTGTTAGGAAGATTAACTGAACTATAAGCATACAATCTTTGGTATACTATTTAGCAGAGGAATTCTTTTATGAATTTCATTACTATCAGAATTCTCTGGTAATGTATATGTTCAATAAAAATTTATGTTCTATTAAGATTATTAAGTCAATTTATAAAAATATCGGTTATACATTAATTTTTATGTTTATGTTATAGATAATTTTCCTCTAATCAATTTTGTTGTTTTTGTTTCAGGTCACCTTTCACATAGAGCCATATAATAATCGTGATGAGCATAACATGTATAAAAATGTGAAATATATTATAGACAAGTAAGTTTCTGCTGTATTTATAGTTAGTTATAGGATCAACTTGTTATTGTTACTGGTCTAGGAAGAGTACATTTAAATTATATTTGAAAGATTTTAATAACTTATGATCCACCATGTTTAAGAAGATAATTGTAAACTGTTATGTAGTAAATGGCACAGCCATTTGGAAGAATATTCCTGAAGTCCTAATAGTCTACTTTATAGATGAATAGTTAAATATGGCTATTGTGAACTGCTTTGCATATTAAATAGGCTCTTTTTATTTTTTGTTATTTTGACATTTATTAATAGTATTTATGATTGTTGACTTGTGTTTTAAAACATAGCTTCAGAACATGACATCTGAGCTGTTTTTATAGCATTTGATGATTTTATTTATTTTTGACATATTACAAGGAAATAAGTTAATGCAGTTATATTTTGTTGAAAACTTTCACTGATAATACTTTGTGACAGATGCTGTACTTTCACAAAGAAACTTGTCAGCAATAATGGAACATTTATTACTAATACAGAAAGTAGTTTATGTAGTCTTGTAGAAATTAATGGGAATTTTATGACATTAGTCATCATTTGTAAACCTCAGCGTGAAATAATTAATTTCTGGTTTGGTTATGTCTTGATGTACCCAATATCTCATTTCCTAATATATACAATTAAACAATCATTTTTGATGATTACACTCATATAACTGATTCTCCAAAGAAGTTGAGCAGTGTGCTTCAGTTGCTCTGATTACGCTCATTTTCTGTACATTATCAGCTTTTGTCTATGGAAAGAGAGTTCTGAATATTCATTTTGCTTTTATATGTTTGTGTTTTAGATATGGAAGCCACCCAGCCTTTTACAGGTACAAGACTAAGACAGGCAGTGCTCTTCCGATGTTTTATGTCTATGATTCCTATATCATAAAATCTGAAAAATGGGCCAATTTATTAACCACCTCAGGGTCTCAGAGTATTCGCAATACTCCTTATGATGGATTGTTTATTGCACTTCTAGTAGACGAGAAACATAAATTGGAAATTCTTCACAGTGGTTTTGATGGAATTTACACATATTTCGCCACCAATGGCTTTACTTATGGCTCGTCACATCAGAACTGGGCTAGCCTGAAAGCCTTTTGTGAGAGCTACAACTTAATATTCATCCCAAGCGTGGGCCCAGGATACATCGACACCAGCATCCGTCCGTGGAACACTCACAACACTCGCAACAGAGTCAACGGGAAGTATTACGAAACCGCGCTGAGCGCAGCTCTCCAGACCCGGCCCAGTGTCATTTCTATCACTTCTTTTAATGAGTGGCACGAAGGAACTCAGATTGAAAATGCTGTTCCCAAAAGAACTGGTAATGCTGTATACCTGGATTATCGGCCTCACAAGCCAGGTGTTTACCTCGAATTAACTCGCAAGTGGTCCGAAAAATTCAGCAAGAATAGGGCAGCGTATGCATTAGATCACCAGCCACCTGTTTCTTAATGTATTAACGAAAGTGTAGTAGCTGTTGAAACACCTAATTTTCAATAAAGGGCTTTTGTTTTGAGCTATGAAAGTTTTCAGAATCAGGATGCATAACTGCTATACAATCTTTAAAAATAATAATTTATACTTCTAAAAAAAAGTAGTTCTATTATCATTGCCACCTTTTCCCTTGCACTAAGAACATATCCGAGACAAGACGTGTGCAAACCACATTCCTTGTGGCCCAGTTTGCTAGATATCGGGCTGAAACTGAAATTCTGCTCTGATGGCAATTTAACTTTGATTTCATGGTGGATGCATCACTGTGGTTACATAAAGCAGCCAGCACACAGTTAAGTCCTGCTTGCATCTGGGCCCAAAGAAATAGGATTGTGGGTATGTGGTATAAGTAAGAAAAACAGATTAAAAGGAGCCAATTATTTTAGGGTTTAATTTCCATGTTTTTCTTTCTCTTCCTTTTCTTTTTTCTTACAATATATTTATTGCCTTCATTGTATTAGTGTCCAGACTCTGGATAGCTCCCCAATAATGGTGACCTTAGAGAAATATAGTTGTATGCCTGAAGCCTTACTCTGAACCATACTGTATAAGGAAGGTATGCTTTCCGTAGTACAGGATGTATCAATATCTGCAGAATTTTGGTTACCTGGGGGTGACTAGGGGTTTTGCATATTGAGTGTTTCTGCTTTATTATGCTGAATTACCAATTTTAAAAGCTGTGGAAAGCACTTTCATAAAAGTTAATGATTGCTTGTCACTTATTAGGAAAGTATCATTTTCTTCACAATTATGAAGACATGTTGTCCCAAATATACTCAATTATCTTCTGTTGGGTTACCTTGTCAGTCTTTAACTTTTTAGTACTTAATTCTTTAAATTTATTGTTAATCAGGGACTAATTGTAAGATACAGGGATAAAAAGAGGCTGGTACTATTTATTAGATTTTCATCTTATAATATTTACCAAAAATAATAAAGAAAATGTACTCATTTTATTTTGGGAACCTGGAACTCAGAGTGCTTTGAAATCTTATTCATATTTACTCTAGTATTTGGCATGTGCATAAGTTGAACGTGTAAAATGATGAAATATTTCATTTTTCATTTACAAGGCAGTACTTTGCATTTTTTATGTATCCTAATATCTACTTTTTTAAATTGTTGCTCTCAGTACCAGTCAAGCTGAAATACTCATGATCAGTATAACTCTTCATGTGGTGACAGATTAAGTATCTTTATGGTACAAAATAGTTTCTTAGCTGTACAGTTAAAACTAGAGAATAACAAAATACACTCTGTTGTTATAGTTAGCATTTTTAATTAAGATTACAGTAAAACTAATATATGTGCTATTATATAAATCTTAGGTTTTTAATTCTGTTATATTAAAAAAGTAGAGCCATGCTAAATAGTAACACATGTATATCATCGTATTATAAAGATGTTTATTCAGAAGCATATATTAGCACTGGAATTTATTTTTTAAATGCCCCATCAAATTATGAAATATGTTTCTTTTACTTTTAAAATTTATTTTAACATCAATTTAGAAGTAAATTGTATGCTTAATATTAGTTTAAAGATATTTATAACTTAAGAATTTACTATTTCTCAGAGAATGAGCATGCCACAGAAAATTAGTATAGTGTTAGCATGATTGCTTTCTAGTAGTAATTATAAGAATAAGTCACTGTGAGGATATTTTGATATGAACAAGCATTTTTGTGTGATTAGTCATACAGAATCAGCCTGTGGGCGGGAGGTGGGGGTGGTGGCATAAGAAAAATCAGCCTGTGTTTTTTTTTTTCTTTCTTTTATGCAGTTAGCCATTATTGGATATGTTAAGGATAAAATCTAAATATGTCATATGAAATATATTTATTGAAATTCAGCTAGAGATATATTTACTACAGAGGAATTTTCTCTTTTGCCTATTTTGTGCATTTGAACCACTTATATTAGAAAATTAATTCATAAAACAATTTTGAAATTAGGAGAAACTATAAATATAGACCTAGCAATTCCTCAGTCTATCACTCTCTTTATTTTCCTCCCATTACAGAACTAGATTATCCCTTAGAGCAGAGGTTCTCCACCTTCCTGATGATGCGACCCTTTAATATAGTTCATGTTGTGGTGACCCTCCCAACCATAAAATTATTTTAGTTGCTACTTCATAACTAATTTTGCTACTGTTATGAATCGGGCAACTCCTGTGAAAGGGTCGTTCGACCCCCAAAGGGGTCGTGACCCAAAGATTGAGAACCACTGCCTTAGAGCGTATTTAACTTCTGAACTTTGTCATGTCCTTTGAGCACATTACTCAGACCAGCAATTGTAAGCAGTAGCATTTCCAAGTAAGATAAAACATACGGGTACCCAAAATAAAGAATTTTTTTCCAAAGTTATGTATTTAAAATTTTTTTTACAAAACAAC